TCAGCTGATCTGAAGAAATCAGCTGATCTTAGGAAATCAGCTGATCTGAGGAAATCTGCTTATCTAAGGAAAAGTTGCATGCATGCCTGCTTCTTTTTCCCACACATTCATTATTGTAACCTTGGTCTGCAGAATAAATATCAAGCATCATACCTGATTCCTTGCCAACAGGAGCGGCTACTTCAAAGAATGCCACAAAGATGGTGTTGGGATTTTCCCTGAAAAGAAGCAACAAAGCATTTAAAAAAATGGAACTGGGCAATTGATTTTAACAGAAAGTGATCATGTTGGACAGTTTTGTGAAAGCAGTGATGTTGGAAATCAACCCACAGTGATGGATATCACAGCCCAATCATTAAACGTTGTATTTCAGGCATGATTAGTTTTTATTTGCCAAGTTCAGTGAGTTATTCATTCTGCATAAGCCTACAGGTTTCAAAAGTCTCAATCTGTTACCATGGCAACACTAGCTTTACCTGATCCTTGCAGACTCCCCTCCGATGAAGAAACTGCGCTAAAGTTTAAGTCCTAACTTACTACCACCTTCTAACTGTACAGGAGACACTGCAAACATCCCTTCCAATATTGTCAGTCTGTCACCCATGGAATCATTACCTACTAGAAGTACATGTACAGTGCATACAGTGCATACATGCAGATTAAAGTACAGGAAAAAAAGCCCCCCCCCTCCAAAAACACCCCTAGGCAAGAATGTAGAGGCCCTAACTTCACCACTCCGATTTTCTGATCTTTCATCAAGTTTCTGACAATCTGCCAACAGGGTACACATAGTTCACTGTACAGAGAATCAGTTTATTGCAGTAAACATTATCCACATCCAAAAAGAGTATCCTTGGCTGTTGACCTGCAAAATTCCTCTGCAACAAAATGCTCTACTGAAACCAACTGCCTGATAAAACATCCCAATGTTTGATCTGCCCAGGGTTCAAATACTGGGCAATCACTGTTACTGACGTAAAATGGAAAGTGCACACAAAGCGATGCTGTGTCACAATGAACAGTTTAATTGAGTCAATATGTCAAACGAAACATTCAACAAGCTAGTGAATTGTCGAAACTCGCAATGGCTATAACAATGCACACAAGTAGAAACAGAAACCTGATTCTCTGAAAGGACCTGCTACACATGTTTGCTGTTATATAATCATTCTTCCCACAGCTTACCCACAGTAGTGCTGGGGACACTGATCTTATTCATAATTGATTGATTTTTTTCCCAAGTGATACGCCAATAGAGAAATATGATGGCCACGATCATCTTTGTGAGACTTAGCCCTGGGCTTTGACACCTTACAATGTGTACACCTAAATAATGCAACATTGTGAGCTTAGTTTTTTTCAGTTAATGGAAATCAGTGCTGGTGGAAGGAAAAACAAGCAAACTGTCACTGACTCAGGTTGAGAAAAAAAATCACTGATATAAAAACATATTGTTTATATGCTCGATATTTTTCGTAAAGTAAGCAATTTGGGTTTTGTTAACACAACACTTCATATTCACATTGTATGCTGTGTGCCTACATGTACCAGGCACGCTCAGACTAGTGGACAAATGCAATGCCTTCTTGGCACATTTATCTACAATAAGGAGAAAAACACTCAGATTTACGAAAAGTTCTCTAACCTCTGACAGTGTATGATGCATGTACATGTACATTGAGCTGTGCACTTTAACATTACTGCCCAAATACAGTGCAAATAGAGTTCTTTTAATTGGTTATTCCTTCTTCAATTTATATTTGGCTTTGTGCCACTGTCAGGTTTGACCTTTCTTATGACAGGAAGGACAGCACGGCCAAGATGTCTTTTGAGGTAGTGTGAAGGAAACATTGGCTTACATTGTAGGAGGAAATGCCTGAAGATTTAATTTTGAAAGACAGCTGTACCATGTGCACACAGGATCAGAAACCAAATTTACACCCTTCTCATAGCGTTTCTGTAGAAACGCGAATTTCAGAAGATCAAGAAAGTTGGCTATCAAACAAAATCGCCAACAGAAGTAGAGTTGCTAAAGCATGTCATTAAAGGCTCAATACTCCCTTCAAAGATACCCAATTTTACATGTATGATGTACCAACGCGTACTCATACAAGACACACGCATATTGCAATCTTTATTCCTTTCCCCTTTTAAGGTTTAATTCCAAGTAGTTCAACATGTGTGTACATCCTTTCTTCAACAATCTGCCCCTCCCCCCCAAAAAACCCCAAAGTTTCCTGGTCCAGTTTGTGACGTCAGTGCCCAGGTCCTACCCAGCATGCCCCTTGCATTGGATGAGCGACCTTTTTAAGTTACACTCGGTAAGGTTGCAGGTCAGTGGATAGACTCCGTATTGCCTGGCGCGGACCAAATCAGGATTTGCCTGCTGTCACATTTACAATTACAACATTCTGTGTCGCAGTGACTGGATAGTTTGTAATCGAGAAGGATGGTAGCTACCAGCAGACCTGCCAGCTACAGTGTGGTATTTCTGACAAATTTGCACAAAACGGAGCCCTCCACAGGGAGCTATTTTTCAATGAAGGCATAAATTTTCAAAATACCGACTGGCTCCGTGCGCAAAAGCCACTGGTTAGGTTAACCCACTAAAAATTGAAAAGAAAATGAAAGAGGGAAATAGCTTTAATGTGAATTTTTCACCAACACGCAAGGGTATTTTTCATGATTTTCTTCTTTTTTTAAGTATTGGTTGTCTCTGGCAAACAGTAATTACCCAGAACAAGAACACCAATCTCTCTGCACATGATGGAAAAGACCTTGGCCTTTAAGGGCATGTTAAACCGCAAGCTGTGATCTCACACAAAAGGCATGAAGACTTCCCACCCTGGTGTCATTCACCACAGCAAGCTCTGGAGGATAAAGTGGGGAAATTACCTAAATGTACAGTAGCTATCCAGTTAACAACTAACGGCTCGGATTTCATAAACCACCAGGAGGTGGGAGAGGGGGTGCAGAAATGAAGAGGGTAGAGCCCAGCCACTAGTCCCTAATATACAGAGCTTAGTACCTCTTGAAACTTACTATGTGCATGCAGAATACCAAAAGACGAGCCCTTTTTTTCTTGCACAATAAGGGATTTTGGAAGAAATTCTCATTGCCACGCGCCCATAAAAGTAAAACAGGGAAAAACCAAGCATGGACAAACAGTTTTGCTTGTACAAAATTTAACATCCCAGCTCCTTTTTTCACACTGTAAATCTTTAACACCAGTAGATTTATACATGTGTGTATAAAGGGTGGGACGTTTACACATTTAAACGAAAAAAGTTCCAAATCTGTTTACAGATTTTCTCAAACATTTAAACCGAACCATCCCTTTAAGAGGTTTGACATTTTAATTAACGCAGTCCGGCATTCATTTTTATTGTAAATGATGTCTGTAAAATGTAATCTGATTTTAAGAACACTTGCTTGGTCACACCAAAGGACTACCATGAATTCACCACCGGAACTTTGCGTCAACCATTTACTTGTTCATGAATATAATTTGTTTTGTTTAAAGTTTTCAATTACAGCATGGTATAAATGAGTAGGACGTTTACATCTTTAAACAGTACAGGAAGGTTTTCTAAACATTTTTCAGTGAAGCGTAAATTCCTACCCTTAGTGTATACATGTACTACCCAAAAACTGAAAGGATCAGACATTTGTCTTTGAAAATTTAAGTCAGGTGGATGGTGAAGCCTTAGATACATGTATGACATGTAGGCCTATAGCCCTTTATCGTTTCCACTCCCACTTCAAAGGCACATTTATAATGCATTTTCTTTGTTAACTTACTGGCATTTGTGTCAATGCAAAGTGTTCAGTGGAACTCTAATTTGACTAGGAGCACAATGAGACACTCGAGTATGCTCAGTGAAACACATCGGAAAGAGTTCCATGCGCAGACGCCACTTGACACCCCGTGAATAAACCCTTTGAGACTGGTCTGAAAAATTCTACGTGTTTTCTCAGTAAACGACTTAGTATTTTCCCTCCTAAACTGAACTCTTCTGCTTTTAGACATGTTTTGGCTTTATGATGGCTATGGGGCAGTGTGGACATCAGGGATTCTTGCAAAATGACAGGCACTGCGCCGGTGAAAACAGTGACCTTGGCGACGTACGCACGCACCAGCCAGTCCGAGGATCGGGTTATACAATCTTTTCTTTGATCTGTATGTACGTGCACGCTCGTTGTAGTTGTTTTCACTGGCCGCGGTGTTGTTGCTACCCGTATTTTTATAAAACTTCCAGATGTCTGCACTGCCCCATACTCACTGTACAAAATTTGAAGCTTAAAAGGGATTAATACTGGTGTCTATATATGGAATTCTTTCCAGTACGTTTAACTTGTCTAACTGATGTTCTGCAGGGTGACACTTGTCAAACTTTTTGAATATAGTAAAGAGTTCCATATACAAAGTCTCTCCATGCTCACGTCACAGACATCTCTAAGTTGACACCCTGTGTACATGTACAAATTCTTATGGGACTGATTACTGGTCTGAAAAATTCGAAGTGTTTTCTAATAACTTAGGCCATGTACTAGGCCTACTTTTTATGACATGTTAACGCTTTCTGTGGCTGGTAACCCCTACAGGGGAAAATCAGTGATTCCGTATGCTATACAGAAGTCTTTCCAGTAAGAAATATTTAAGCCTTGCTTAGTTTGGGTTTGCGAAATGTCACAATGTCAAGAACTCAGTATGAACGTCACGCGTCACAACGACATGTGGGAGTGCCACGACACGTTAACAATAACGGCGGGTAATCCGTTAAGAAATGACGGCTATTTCCACCCTGATTTGACGACACTCCAAGTAAAGGGTAGCCATTAAACCTAATTACAAAAAACTTAACTTACTTGAGTCTGCACCCCATGTCGCCGTTCGGGAGAAATTAAATTTCCAACTTCCTTTTGCCATTGACTGGGTTCACTCCTTTTCCGCACTGCAGTCGGCCATATTGTAAATCGGTATGGTTTAACCCAAAGTAGGGGTGTGGGTAAAATTTTAATTTAATTCATTCATTTTCGCCATTAGACTAAGAGTACAGCCCTATCAACTTTACTGTTAACAGTTTCAATGTAAGATTATCGATATTTTAAATAGAAATTTCGCTGAACTTTTGATAAATGAAAAACAATTTTTGTAGGCTGAATGGTGTACCCCTATATACACGTCGTGAATATCCCCACAAAGTTTCATGCGCCCTCCCTATCCTACCATAAGAATGATTGTTTATTTTATGAAGAAATAAGACTTTAGTGCACACTTGACTGGTCTGTCAAGCGTATATCTGAAAATTTTGTGTGAACGTTACCTTTCCGCATAACAAAACTTCAGTAACGGTTACGGTGAATGATGTGTCGTTGACTTTCGACATAGAGCTGTAAAAGGGTCCTGTGGTTGTGCCACACTCAACACGCTCCATACATCATTGCATGGAATGCATTTTTCTACCATGTGTTTACTACAGCTAGGCCTATCACTTCAGGAATCTAGTTTGCTGCGGATTGCCGGCTTTTGTCTGAATCGTCTGACAGAGAGAAGTCTACGGACATACCATTTTGTCAGTCGGCCATCTGGAAGTGTAAGGTCTACGATTAGGTGCAAAGCATCACAGTGGGTGTGGTCACGTCATACATGTATGTACTCAGGGTATAAGATGTCTTCAAGTTTAAGTTCTAGAACCGAAAGCCATCCAGAACTTACATGTAGCAGCAGTGAAGGTAACTTCTCGGGACAGACAGCAAACAAACAAGGTGGACGGGGGGGTAATGATGAGATGCCTTTGGTTACCCTAGTCAAGGGAGAGATGGTTGACTTTGATAAACTCTCGGCAGAAGAACGGGAGATTTATAGACTACACCAAGAGGCATGCCAAGTACGTCAGAGTGTGGAGTGTTGGACCATTTTTTTGCATTGTGCACTCTTAAAAATATACTTTGTTTCATCATAAATGGATGCAACAATCAGATCATCAGCACCGCCACCTTTGTAATGACCCTTTCCATCACCCTCACCATTATCACCATGATCCTCACCACTACTGTAATCCCTATCATCCCCATAATCACCACCATTATCATCACCATAATCCCCGTCAAAACGCTGTATCACCATCATTCCCCTCGTTACCATCAACAAGATTATAATCTCTATCCTCATCACCACCATCATGACCATTCACCACCATCACTGATCACCACAATCACCCGGATTCACCATCAATAATGCCATGGGGGTACATGTAATGTCTCCCTCATTGGCATCCCTCACACCACTACCATAATCATCAGTTTATCACCACTATAATCACCATCATCATAATCACATCATTATCTCTCACCATCATCACCACAGTCACCAGAATCACTATTAACACCACCACATATGTATGTCCATCACCGTCATCACCCAGATCACGGTCAGTCAACCATCTTTCCGGAAAGATGGTTGACTGACCAGTAATCAGCATCATCATCATTACCATCAAATTGGTCATGAATCGTAAATTAACCATCTTCATTACCACCAGTCATCCTTTGTCTTTATAAGTTTGATAAACATTTCATCTTTTTCTTTTGAAACAGAATCATTTCTTTCCTTACTACTCTTAGGCAACCGACTGTTAATTCCTCTCAACACTGATATAGATTCGATGCTTTGTTGAACTTAAGCTCTGAGCTGTGCACAGGTTTACGAGGCAAGTTCCAAATAAGGCTGTAACTTTGTCACGATTTGGGCTCATTTTTTACCTCTTTTTGGAATCTTATACCAGGCTGGTGAAGCTTCATATACGGACCCGTCAACTGGATATGTTGTGTTGACGCAAAATTATCACCTCGCTAGAGGCAAGTGTTGTGGAAGTGCTTGCAGACACGTAAGTTAAATAGGATTAAACTTGAGTGGCATTTCAAGTTGGTGGGAAGTCATCTTTTGAGTTGTTGATGACGGGCTGGATATGTTAGTGAAGGAAATTGAATAAAATCCCTTCTGGTGGTGTTTTGTTTCCCTTAGTTTGGTGAAATACACTATAAATTCCACTGAATTGCGATTTAATACATTAATACATTGGCAACACCGAAACAAACTTACATTACCATGTACTCTCTCAAAAATAATGACAGGTGGGATCTATTTCATCAACTTTTCCAGTTCTTACATATCTTGAAGTACAAGAAATGCCAAATATTATTATTATTCATGCCTTGTAAAAGTACAATTACTTTCCCTGGAACTCAATGCACTATACAGTTTAATTTTTTGCTGTGAGAATTTCATAATTCCAAATTCTCTCCCTCAGTGGAACTTTGACAGAATAATATGTAAGCCAGTGTGAGTTATACGTTGTTGTGTTTTTACAGTGCCCTTATGGACATGCAAACGTTCCGGAGGAGTTTCGCACGAAGACCTTCAACTCGGCCTTCTTCATCTGAGCCCTGTCTGGGTTGCAGTAGATTCCCAATACCCTACCTCTCTCTGAACTTTGTTTACATCTCTTAAACCTAATATCTAACGCTGCAGTGAAAAATTTCACTGGCACATTTGAACACCAAGGCTCCAGTGTAATGGTCTTTGCCCCCCCCCCAAAAAATTCATCCTGCAGAGAATACTACAAAACATTTGTTTCTTTTAAATGACTCGTATACTTGTAGTACAGGTTAAAACTCAAAGGTATCTTCCCAACAGTACAATCATTTTGATTGAAAGAGTTTTGTCAATCATTTTTACACTGTCTCTTTTAATACAGAAATATTGTCAAGTAGTAATCACACATTACTGACAAAAGAAATCCATTTACTTCAACGACATAAATTTATATCCTTTATGTGAATCAGATTAGATAGTTCTTCCTGTATTTTGAATGTACAGTGTTTAACTCATATAATTCATCAGTTTGGATGTTGGTGTGCCGTTGTTTGATTTATCTTCTTTTTATCTTTGTCATTTTTATTTAAGCTTTTCAAACAGTATTCTTTCATTCTTAATACAGTGCTGTGAAATAAATTTGAGACACAGTTACATAGCTTTCTGATTTGTCGAATTATTTGTGTTTCAGCTTTGTGGTACATTGTATAGACAACTGACTGACTTTATATGAGAGTTCTTGCTTGCGATTGGTCAATAGTGTAACCTCTCATCTCATCTGATTGGTCCATTCACTAGCTACCTCCTGGTGTGAAACTCCTGATCTTCTGCAGCAGTGTTCTTCTCTGTTCACCAGCTAGTTTCTGATTGGCCAAGAGTTTGAAAACTTCCACTTGATTGGTCCATTCATAACTGACTTGTTTTGATTTGACTTGTGTCTGTGGAATGCTTGCAGCCGTGATCTCCTCCATCTGTGACAAATATTCCAGAGCCAAAACAAAGACCTGTTCTTTCAGGTCGTCTGTTGCTAGGGAACCGATGACTTCACAAGCATGACAAAAGAACTGGCCAATTGCAAACAGGCAGCCCGATTCACTGGCAAGGTCAGAGTTCAACATCTCAGACAAGAGTTTCTGTTATAAAAAAGTTCGGTGTAAAAAATTCAATCTTATGCAAATCAGGCTCAAGTTTATAGAATAGATTTGTGTCGCTCATGAATTTGTCTAAATACAGAAAAAACTTGCTTAACAAAAACAGACTTGCTGATAACCTCTCTTGCACTTTTCTGCTTAGCATATCGCAATAAATAGCATCCCTCATCACTGTCATTTTTTTTCTAACCTGCATTGTGCCAACATAGCAACGGGTAACATGGTGTAGCAGGGGTGGGGTTGCCCATTCTTGGCAGCAGGGGCTCGTCAGAAGCTGCAAGACCGACAGCAAAAGCTGGGACAGGCCAAGATGCACTCGGAATACTGCAGGTGATAAAAATTCGGAGGGCTTGAAAAAATTTATCTAAGATCACGTGAGAAGAAACAAGATTCTGGTATAAGTAGCCATCATGTAGTGCTCGGGAATATAGTCATGATTCTATGCAGTAAAACTGGGAGGAAATTTCAGAATTCAGTAGAGGGATATGAGTAAGGATGGTGACTGAAATAACAGTCAGGCAACTTGGAAATTTACACTAAGATATATCCAATACCAGAGATGTTCGCCATGGGTAGCTCTGTCACATATTTGGCACTGCATGGAACCATCAGCACCTCATTGGTTAGAAGTTGTGTCAGCATTCCCATGATGCACTGCCATTCTCCCATGATGCTGTGGGGTAGCACTTGCAGGAGGCCCAATGTGACAGCCTCCAGAAAATCCCTGTTAGATGTTTCATCTGGAACTCGAATGCCCTGCAGAAAATGTAAGATCTGCAAAAGTCTTACGAGCAAAATATGTTTACAAAAATTTGTAAGTATCGATGCGTTTACTAAAACTAACAGGATTTCACCAAAATCCACACTCTGCTTTCACTGTTTATTCGTGTTATCTAAAAACCAACCTTGCTCAAGATGTTGGCCAGACTCTCTGATGTGCGGCAGCAAAGAAGCAACTCAACAACCTGGTCGCACAACAATGTGATAACTGGAAGAACATCTATCCCAATAAGAAATATTGAACATGGATATGCATCACACCATGCTAGTACACATATTTATCACACAGATGTGGAATGGTATATGACATCACTGGTGCATGTCTCCATGCTCCAAAGGACTGCGAGTGACCCAGATTAGGGTACTATTTCCTAAGGCCGAAAACCAAGGGCAATATGACCCTCTTCTGGTTATTAACAGGCCCGAGGGGCCAAGGTTATGTACAAGCGTCCTGCCTTATGCCAGTAGGTTTATAACGCACCTCTGTCCAAAATATGAAATAAGAAATGGAAGATTGTTGGGGTTTTGTAACGGAAATGTTTTAGTTCAACTACATGACTAAAACTCACAAGCAATTTAACAAGCAATTCAGCAATTAAATTCAGCTTTTGAGTTACTGTTTGCTGTTCTCATTGTGTGAGGGCGCTGTAACCTGTCAAAAATATTGACCAAGCAATATACTCCGGATGGTATACACGCGAAGTCTTGGCCTGCAGCTAGTTCACACTGACACAAATTTCTTGCACCGGCCCGTGTTCGTTTCAGCCACATAGGGCCAAGAACCACCAAGGTGTCCCTTCAGCTTTGACAATGACAAAAAACCTGGTTAGCTATTAAGATTGATCTCAAAAATACTCTTTTATACGAGAACTTACTCTGGGAAGTATTTCTGGAAGGCAAAGCAACCCATTTCTGATCAGCTAAATGGCAGAAGCTGATTAACGATGCTGGAACAAGCTTTAAAATGAAAAAAAGAGAAATTGAAATAGACTCCTTTCAAGGCTGGGTATGGTTACACAGAATACAAGAAGAAGAAAGTTTCTATTACGACCCGTCGTTCAGAAAAATTGGGTCTCCTTTCTACTGGCAGTAACTTGTGGCTGTAAAACGAATGAACCATTACTTTGTGCACTAATGACAGGTTGGGTAGGGAAATAACGGCTGGACAGGAGGCTAAATTACCCTCTGCTGCTGCTGGCATTCTGGTAGTGTCTCCTGTACAGCCAGTACAGTCGTCCAGTGCATTGTCGCAGTGACACGGTTGATGAGCCACGATGCACCATGCTCCAATTCTGCCCTGTCTAGATCGGAAATGGTGAAATAGGTAATGAATTGCTTCATAACATCAACCTTAAAATAGAAATATACACATAATGTTATTTGGCTAAATCTGAGAACTGCAAAGATTTAGAATTGAACAATACTGCACAGTTTAGTACATAAGAGGTTTATTATTTGTATCTCCAGGGTGGTAACCCTTCTGTCACATGTCAAAGAAGAATGACACAGCAACGTTCAAGGGTCACCAGTCTACATTCCCAGATGGTGTCTTTTTGTTGTACGACAGCTAAACGTGGCATACCTCCAACAACTTCTACAAGTTGCTAGTTTGTTCTCCATCCTACTGCAGGGGCGGATCCAGGAATTTTTCAAGTGGGGTGGTCAGACCGGAGATTTTTTTTTTTAATGTCTCATTTTTTGGAGACAAGCGGAAACGACGATGAAACACCCCATGACATACATTGTTTACAATGGTATAGGGACATTTTAGTTATTTTTATTATTTTCCCAATTTTTTCCTTTTTTCTCTTTTCTTTTCAGAGTGGAAGGGGTTCCGACCTCCCCCCCGGATACGGCCCTGTACAATGTACAATAGATTTGGAGTGCTGTACTGAATTAGAATTGCTAGTTAATCTTGCCAAGGCAGAACTTACCACACGTCACCATGGCAATTCTACCCATCTTTCCCAGAAGGCCCTGTACCACTTCCTTAACATCTGCTTTCTCTGCCACCATGGCAACGCCATCCCACAGCAGACGACAGCTATCCAGGACCTCATAGAGGCAAAGCATGATGGGAAACAGGGATGACCCCAACGCAGCCGTGTTGCCGGTCTGCGTCGGAAATTCTTGAAGGTTGATAACCTTTTTGAGGAATTTCAGGGCCATCAAGAGATTGTTTGGACTGCTAGGCTCTGTTATGTTGTCACGGAGATGTGGCAGGATGCAGACGTGGGTAAAACCTTGAGATGGAAGGACTGGTGGAAGCCAAAATGGACAATGGGGATCCAAAAGGGGTTTAAAGGGCTACGAAAATAAGAAGGAAAAAAAAAAGAATGAGAGATGTAACTTTTGCTATACCATTCTACAATGGTGGGAAAAATCTCGTTCAGATGGCTTAGACCCAAACTATTTCCATTCGAGCTTAATGGAGGATGAGTGACTCGGACTCAGCTCATCGCTTGGACCTTCAATGTCTTTTACAATACATCCGGGATGAGTTGCCATGGATACAAAAGAAAAATACCAAAATGAGGACAGAAATCCTCTAATAGGCAGTTCTCAGTGCTTTTATCTGACACACCCTTCAACTCAATTTGAGTTGGAGAGACTTCTATGCAGATCAGTAGTTTCAGAATATTGGTACATCCACCTGACTGTCCAAATAAACTTGATTCGTGACCTCAAAGTTAAATCCCTTGAGGTTCCTTGATGTTACGATTACCAGTGACACATTTCACCTAGGGCCTTATTACCTGCAGCAGTTCGGAGACCAGCTGGATGAGGTTGGCCTCTTCGTTGGCCGATGTGGCCAGTGTTTCTGTGGCCTCCCAGATGAGATAACAGAGCAAAGGCCATCTGTCCCCTTGTTCTTTGAAGGTGGCCAGCGATGGCATGGCCTGTAAAACCTTCCTCAAAGAACAAAAACACAAATTGTAAACGACTGACTTATCCCCTCAAAACAAAGAAGACTGTTCTTTTTCTGCATATAGTCTGATGATGGTTTGCTATCTCGTAGTCTCGTGTCCTCGTTATGTCTTCTGTCTTAAGGGCTGTTTATACAAGCCTCTGCTTATTTCACAGCACCATGCTCTTTTCTTTTCTCATTTGTACATGGACTGGTTTCCTTATCTTATCATAAGCTCTAATGTTCTCTTCTCATCAAGCACATGTATCTGTAAAAGTTATTCTCATCTTCATTGCTAATTTCAATGTACTGAGTTTCTGAAATTTCTGATGTCTTTTCTTAAGCTTATTTATTTCGTCAATTTCTATGTATCAACTTCTCTTAATTAATGTAATGCTTTGAAAAGAGTATGGAATAAACGTTGAGTTGTTGAGTTGAGTGGTAAGTTTCCAAACTATTTTGTGCTTGAGATTAGTGGTCAATCAGTGCCCTTGCACTGACCAGTGGGCATGAAGAACAGGTTACAGCTGTGTATGAATTTTGAAAGCAGTCAGATCACGTGGCCCACTTTACCTGACACACTGCCTGGCACACTGCGGCATTGGACACTGCCCGCTTGACCGCTTGCCGGAGGGTCAGGGCCGGGGATTGCAAGGCCAGGCAAGACAAGGCAGTCAGAACCTGTCAAAGAGAACGTTAGGGAAAAAACAGTTGCTAGAATGGGAGACATTGCATCACTCAATCAATAAATGCATTAGCAGGATACCAACAAGCCTCTGGGTAGCCATTTTTTCCACACAAGAAATAGACTTTGGCTCTATGTACTTTTTCTTGTTTTGCTCCAGCAAATTGATCAGTGTTTCATTTCCTGGTCCCAAAATAACACCTGGATGTATCAAAAATTGTCTTCATGGCCTGAAATTCAGCAAACCACAATGCCTTGCTCCCAAATTCCCAAGGAATAAAACACTAATAAAAATGATTTCTTACGCTTGTGCATATTCCTTCACAACCTATTAATTTTTTATTTTACTTTGAAGAAGAAATTAAAAATGTTAACCAAATATGTGTGGGAAGTGGATCGATCATTTCCAACTAGAAATTTTTCCTTGCAAAAATGGACAGTTTTAATCATTCAATTGCAAGTGAAGAGGAGAAAGTCAAAGCAAAAACATGTTTTTTCTCCTGTGAAGCCAAGACAAATTGTTTGAGACAAATATCCCTACCGGGATTTGACCTCTGACCTCTGTATTTTCCTTGCCCTGTGGCAGAGTGACCAGCTTGTTGAAGGCAGTGGTAGACTCCTGGTCAAAATGACAGGCACCGCGTCTGGCGAAGATGGACACCCCACCTTGGTAGCTCCAGAGTCGATCGCGGAACTCGTTCTGCAGGAGAAATGGGAGGGCGCAGTAGCTGGCAAGAAGAACCTGGGTGGCAGAAGGAGGAAAAGAAATTAGAAATTAAGCTCCTACATCAGTCAAAATGAGGCAGCATTTTTCCGCAGAACAACTGATCTTCATTGATTGTGGAGATTTTTCATTAAGAAGCACGCTCAGTGCAAAATCTTATTATAAAACCAATTAACCAGCATTCCACTGCAATATTTTAGGCAAAGAGAATTAAGAGCCCCCCCCCAAAAAAACCCCACCTGGTCTTCCTAATTTTTTTTCAACATACACGTAATAGGGAACACAACTATCTTCTGTTTGGCCTTAGACAAATTCAGCTTTTTCCAGAAAGTATCATTCCAATGGAATCAATCAATTACAAGGCGAGTGGCTCTGTCAAAGCCTCGTAACACAAACCTTGAGAACTCGTTTCAGGACACTGTTGTGTGTATCTCTTCCATCCATTGCCATGGCGATGCCAATCAGTTGCTCCACAAATCTAGCAAGAAAGAACTAGGCCATATTAACCTAATGAAAACACAAATAGCAAAAACGTAAAGACAATTACAGCAGTCAAGAGGGAGTGTGTTCTCACCTTGGAAGAGTCAATGCTGCTGTGTTTCTCTCCAGACATTCTATCCATAAGTCATCCTCCCACTGGTCACTCAACAACAATAGCTGGCTGAGATCATCTGCAAAATTAGAGGTTTTAATGGAAAGCCGGGTAAAGAGAAAGTGATGACGAGGCAATGAAAATGGCGCTGGTGTTGCAAAACTTGACCCAGAGCTGGGTTGGAGGTGGACAGGGCTGACATGGGGCTGGGGTGGGCCTTGGGAGGGGCTAGGGTAAGGCTGGGCCGTTTTCCAATACTCAACTTCGGTTCCATCTCAGGCTTCAACTGTTTTTAACTAGCTGACTTTGAAGCTGTAAGTGCACTAATTAGTCTAAAAGTGCCACAAAACATCAAATAAGGTGTAAGAGAGCCAAAAATTACAGTAATCCAATTTAATTTAAACGCTTCAGGCCCACAATAGGGGATTGGGAACGAAGCCTGAGACGGAGATGAAGTTGAGTATTGGAAAACGGCCCTGGGGTGGGGCTAGGTTGGGCTGGGGTGGGGCTAGAATGAAATTAAAGTGGGACGCAGTGGGTCTGCACTGGGTCTTGGGCAGTGCTGGGGTTGGGCTGGGGTGGGGCTAGGTTCAGGCTAGGGTGGGGCTGGGATAGGATTGGGTAAGGCAGGTGTTTGCTCTGGGCGTTGAGGTAAGGGGTGGGTTCCATCATCAGGCCACGGGTGAATGCCACTGAAATAAAAATTACAAACACTCACAAATATTTTCAACTGAATTAGCAAAAAACGTTGAAGCCCTTACTAAAATGGTAGAATACAGCTCGGGCCTTAACCCAAAGGTCAAATGTGGTCATGAGTATCAAAAGAGGTTCCAAACCTTCATATCCTTCCATTCTCTCATCCACTCTGTTGATTGCATCTACAAGCCACATGTGCCCCCTCTGTTCGTTGGCTGCTTCATCTGTTTCCATGGTAACAGTAATCTTCTCAGCCAATAACACATCGTTATTCAGCACTTGGGATAAATATGCTTTAATCTCATTAGACTGCTGCTCCACACTTGTGATGTCAGCTTGAGTGTGCTCTTGAATGGGCATTTTTGACATTTTTCCAAGACAATTTTCAAGAGTTTTCAAAATATTCTTAACAAGTAATTCATCTTTGCTTACTCCATTATCTTGGAGATCAGAGTCACACCAATCGACAAACAAATTCACCCAGTCTTCAGTGAGAAGGCAACGGAGGGTGTGTACCATCTTTGTAACTGCACCGAGTACAAGATCCAATTTTTCAGGTGAGCACCCATGTTCATCACAGTTTCTCTGTGAAGCACGCAGCGTTGCTCCATGATCTAAACTTTGAATATATTCTCCAGTGCGTGTGGAGCTCAGAAGATGCAGTTTATAGACTTCATTGGAGAGGTCTGGGTTAGTCCATCTGTTCTGTGTTTCCAGTGCCATGCTTTCATGGTACCTTGAATACAGCTGGCTGTTTTGGTGTTTCTCTTCAAATTCAGATTCTGACACCAGACTATTAAGGCAGACTGTCACAGCTTCCATGACTTCAAATCTCTGAGTTCTGTTCTCAATCACAGACTTAACTTTGTGTATGAATTCACAGGACAATATTACATGTTCGTAGAATGTGGCAGCCTTTTCGGAAGGAGTAACTGACGACTTTGATCTTGGGTGATTGGGGAGATTGCTAAGTACGTCTGGTCTTCTTCCGATGGAACCACTTCTGTGGTCACAAGATGATGGCGCCAACAGCCCAGTCAGAATGGAAATGAGAAGATGAGTGCGGTTTGTTACCATACACTTGGCAGCAATCTCTTCAAGGAAGTCATGTGTGAGTTTAGGATCCAGGGAATGGAGTACCTGGATAAAATACAATATAATTAGGTTTCTGGTTGAAATACAAAATCAGTTTAAAGTTGTAAAGATGTCTTTGACAACAAGTGACAATATGCACACAAACCCATACAGAATGAGACAAGAAAAAAGTGATTAGAAAACTTCCCTCTATATGGCCATTTCTTTGTGGTTGTTACTTTTTCTTACTTTGAATAAAATTTACACCACAGGCTAAGAGGATTTATAAAGATCTGATAAAAGAGGCCTCTCAAATCAAGACCTACAATGAGAAGAGGACCTGTAAGCATACTACCTGTAAAACTTCACAAAAATGATATCATGTTAAAATTATGAAAATGATTCAAAAATGCACAACTTTCAATTAAAAGTAGAAAAACCTGGTTCATACCTGGGCACATAATGGCCCCCATTCGAATGTGTTGGACACACCGAGGTAAATATTCAGGTCAACATTATCAGGTAGACCCCTTGAAACACCTTCAAAATAGCTCAGCGAACAGCCACTGTCTCCAGGTTTCTCTGATGCCCAAAGTTTTTTCTCATTTTTCTCAACTACATTTTCGTCTTCACATTTTCTTCTCTCCAAAAGCTTGACAAACAAACTGGCGTGAAGTTTGAAATTCCAGTGATCCTTCTCAGCATCGGTTCGGTCTCTTTCAATACCGTACACTATCTCCCTGATAGCGTGACAGACCGCAGCGATGTTCACTGTAGCTTTCCCCGCGGTGTCCTCCCGGAGGTCGTTTTGCATTCGCGATTGTGCAAATCAGTTTCGGGGCAGTAAAAACTGGCATGGAAAAGTGCGATTTCCGGTTCGAAATTCATTTCATCCAAACAAAAATAACAATCTCGACATGAAAAGTGCTATTTAATCATCTTGCTAATCAGTTACGTCCATAAACATGATAAACTTTGCAATTTTTTTTTCGACGATGCCTTACAGTCACAATTCGTTTCATGGAGGCTGCCATCTTGGTCTCAATACGGACTGAATATTTTCAAACATTGAGGGCGCTACTCTGAGCGACAGTAAACGTTGACCTTCCTTGACAACAAGAAGCAAGTTGGCGAGTTACAAAATCTGCTTGAAAAAGAGAGAAAATGACTACCGATTTCTTTAAGATGTAGATCGAGGTTTGTACTATTTATATGTTTTTCCTTTGTACTCAGTGTCTTCGGATTTGGTGGAAAGTAATTCCCACATTTTTCATTCAAATTCATCCATCCGGTGCATTGTCGCGGTCGGTCGGAGGTTGTTCCATTTATTGTACTCACGTCATGGCAAGGGAGCAACTCTCCATTCACTTTGTACAGGGACTTGCATGTTCTCCTCCGTTTTTGCTGCAACATGATAAAAATAACTAAAACCTTTTCGGTACGGTGTTGAAGATATTCATAGCGCATAAACGGTGAAATTTCAGGCACATTTGATGTAAAACCTTTTAGTAAAGCCTTTAACTTTAACTTAAGGTTAAGATTTTACTTCCTTCTATGGGTGGCCCTAATGTTAAAAAAGCACTACACTTCATGCATTACCTGGCAACCCTTTTGCCTCAGCGAAAACAACGGCGTGCAATTTTCTAGCTATTCAGCAGCCGTAATTTACAGACCGAGTTGTCTGAAACTAATTTTGTCTGATCTCGTACCAATACCGTGTTGTTTTGAACTTTTGACTGAAAAGACAGTAAATGGACCAAGCTGACAAGCAGTAAACGTAAGATGACAACAGCAGTGACCCCAATGCCAGAGATGGCTAATGTGGGCGGGAGAGATCCCAGTCCCCCTTTAGAACCCAAGGGAGACAGCAGGGATAGCCCCACCCCCAGAAAGACAAAGGTGCTTGTCGCCAAAACTGAAGGTAAGTCAGATTCGTTTTCAAATCACGTTGTTGCATCAAATTAAAAAAAAAGCTTTGTAAAGTTTGTTTCAAAGTCATCAAGCCAGTTTTAAAATCAAGCCAGCTTTAATTTACTTGCCGGTCGCTTTTGGCCATTAAATTTTTCCCAAATTTCTGTTTAGAAGGTAAGGTCCAAAGCCTTAAACCAGATTGGAACACGTCCGGCATTTTGAAACTTGAAGTGGTCCGTTCGTTAGCATTTGTTAAAGTTATACAAAGGGACTTTGCACCAGATGCTTCCTTCGAACCAATTTTACTTGTTCAGTTCCGAAGTAATGTTGGACTTGTTCTGTGTGCCAGTTGTGTGCAATGCATTCAGCTTTCAAGAGTGTTACAAATATTGTGATTCGTCACATCTGAGCTTAGTTGACACCTTTAAAATAATGTGCCCATGATATGCCACTGCATGGTGTCTTTTAAACATGTCAGTTTATTATGAACCAGCTTAAGTCTGTCATTAACTAACCTTTCTGAAGGTCAAAGCATAGCCACCCTACCAGACCTCCGATCCAGCGACAAGGACATTGACAAGACCAAGCCCTTGCCAACCTCGCTCCAGAGTGAGTTCATCCCGGAGGACATACTGAACGCCCTGACCAACATCCCCACCCCTGGGGTCAAGGAGAAGATGAAACAGAAGGGGGTGCAGAAGGCTAAGGCAAAGGTGAGATATATATGTGAAGGAACGAAGGTTAAAGAGCCTACAGAATCAATTTCACACTGAGACGTGCGTGAATATCCATGCCGCTGACATGAATGGCAATTCAGCTAGTTCGTTGTATTTTCCATCTTTGGCATCCCAGGGTTCTGTTCCTGACAGACATTTTAGGCACCTGCTGTGTCTGCTGTGTCAACATGGGGCATGTTGTTTTTTCACATGTTGTTTTTTCACAGGTTCCCAAAGGCGGAGCACCAGCCGCCAACATGTGGAACTTTCCCAACCGCCGACGTCGCTTCCAGCATCTGACGGACCAACCGATCTCGATGACTGGGGCTGGAAGGTAATAACTCAGAATTCTGTCCACAAGCATTATTCCACACTCACCGAGTATTTATTGAAAACTTGACAGGAGCACATGGCAAAGTCGTCACTGATTTTTTTATATACCACCCTTCGTTGCACAGACTACAGAGGGAGCTGTATATCTTTCACTGCAGCTTAGGACTAGTTCGAGCGGCGACCATTTGTCAGTTACTGGGCAATTTTGCCTGGTACCCAGGATACATTTTTGTGCATAGGCTACCAGGGAAAATCGGCCAGTGGTTGACAAACTGTTGCTGCTCAAACTCGCCCTTGGGCAGTCTCATAGATCTGCCAAGCATGGAAATCTGCTAACCATGGAAAAATTTGATGTGCTTAACAGAAACAAGTTACCAGTCAAACTGTTACACAATGCATCTCTCTTATGACTGGTCCTCAGCTGAATTTTGTTTAGCAGAGAACTTGCTTTGCAGCATTTTCTGTGTTTAAGCTTTAGTAAGTTTGGCCCTGACTGGTTCTTCGTCTCTCCATTGTAGCCAAGAAATTTGAAAAGAAAGGGTAAGAACAGATTTAGAAATACATTCTTATTCAGAGGCAAATATGTAATGAATACTTCTTGATGTTCATTCTCTATTCACTGCTACCCAGGGATATATCGTTCTTGTATGATGTTGCTTTCACTGATAAAGCTCCTGACAGAGTGGATCCAACGCAAGATCCCAGTTCTGTCAGGGCCCTGTCCAAACAAGCAGACCAAGACAAGGTAAGAGACAACTTTGGTACAGGGAATTGGTCCTTGGTTCCTGGTTCTTGTGTTCCTGAGCAAGATGCTTTACTGCAGTAAATAGGGACATAGTTCTAGATCCCTGTTTCTGTTCTTTACTCTTGGCTCCTGGTTTTTGTGTTCGTGAGCAAGACATTTTACTGTTATCAATAGGTACGTAGTTCAAGGTCCCTGGTTTCTGTTACTGGTTCTTGGTTCTTGTGTCCGCAACTGCAACACTTTACTGCAATCAACTCTCTGCATAAAAGTTCAGTTCCAGCAGGTATTGAGTTCTGAGAAGTCATCTGTGACACTATGTTTTGTCCCCTCGTATTTGAAAATATCCCAAGACTGTTGGATAGGAGTATTACGTATTTAGTTCCACCATCCAGTTTAGGGCTCATTGTACAAATATTCTGAAAGTTCTTTCCTCTATATTTGGGTTTTGCAGGGGATGAGCGTTCCAGACTCCCTGATCCCGTCTGAGTACCACGTTGTCAAAGCAAAAGGAGTACAGCATCTCGAGTTTCAAGAAGAGTAAGTCTTGACGAGTTGGTTCTAATTATTTTTAAACTAACAACATTAATCCAGTTCCTTCCTGGTCAATTTCGTTATTCATCAAAAACTTTGGAATCAGGATGTGTATTTTGATGAGGTTTTGGTTTTTCTTTTGTAGCAAATACACCACCAATCTGATGGACACTGAGAAGAATCAAGTGGCTTTCCCATCACTGTAAGAATAAGTCCAAAACAGACATTTTCTTTATGGCTATGGATGTTTTTAGTCTATGTTCTGTCTATGTCAATAATTGAAGCCGCAGCCTCAAAATAACCAATAGGGTTACAGCCCAATACTGAATTATTTTGTTCTGTGAAACTTCTCAAAGTTCTTGAAGAAACCAACACTTCATTTTCAATTGCTGCCAAATGTTTTGTTATCGGCTCTTTTCCAAATTTTATTTCATCAAATTTCATTTCGGTTTCAAGTTGTTTAACTAAAGAGGATATTGATATTTTGTATATTTTTAATGTAACATTCTCGACCACGCAGGAAACCGTCCAGTAGATATGAAGTCCTACAGCTGAAGGAGACGATGGATTCCATGATAGACAAAGCAGGAATAGATGATGAAGAGGTTGAGATTAAAGGACCAACGCAGGTAGGTCAGTCTGTCAGTTTGTCTGCCTGTCTGTTTGTTGGTTAGCCATGTTGATAAAAACCTCGAGAGGCATCTCCACGAAGACTTCAATAAAATGCAGTTTGGAGTTGGTGTATGGTCGATCAAGTGAATGTCTCAGGAGTAGAAATTACACTCAACCTTCAACAACCCAGGACTCACTATTTGAGGACTCATTACTTAAACTCAGACTCATTTGAGAGCTGAATGAAGTGGCTTGGAATCTTACTCAAGGTGTGAGGACCCGTTGACCATTTGTGATTTTGAGAACTTGGAGACTCAGAATCAGCCTCAGGGTGTGAGGACCCATTGACCATTTGTGATTTTGAGAACTTGGAGACTCAGAATCAACCTCAAGGTGTGAGGACTGGAACACAAGTGTAACTACGTCGGCCATTGCATTTCGTCTTTATCTGCTGACAGATAGTTAATCACGATGCTTACTTTTTTCTCTCTAGATGCACAATCTTCTTGAGTTAATCAAGAAGGAGCAGAACATATACAATCTCATCTTCCACGAGCTGATAAGACAGGTCAGTGAACCGGTTTGTTGGTTTGTGTCACTGTCTGGTGACTGATCGGCACATCATGCGACATACTGATATCAAGTTTATAGTTCGATGTCTTAAATTGGTCCTGTTTTTGCTCCGCTCTGTCTAACTTAGGTTGGATTAGTGGGCTTAATGTGAGAGAAAATCATGGTTTATTTCAGGCCTTATTCCAGATTCATTGCATTTTTTCTAGGTGAGTGTGGAATGTGCAGAGAGGGGTGAACTTTTAGCAAACCTTCGACAGAGATACAGTAAATTGTTGGATAAGGTTCCTCGGCAAGTCAAAAGGTTTGTGAAAAGACGGTTCACTTATAAATAAAAGTTTTGCTTCCATTCATTTGAAAAACGTAAGATTGGAGAGTAAAATAGTCACCAACCTTGAACCCGTTTCTGTTGGTGTGCTTCTTGTAGCTTGCATCAGGAGGTGATGGCCCAGAGAGCCCTGGATAGGAGGTTGACTGAGGAGCTGTTCCGTTTCAAGACTTCCATTTCTCAGCTCACCAAGTAAGGAATGGAAAATCTGAAAAAAAGTGCATATTGAATAGGATAGAGTATGGCTGTGTAAGAAAGTCGCGGCTGTGGCTAGGATTAGCATATGTCTGTGGTAGGTGGCAACAACCGCTAGCCTGTGACTTCCATTGACATACATGTACATGTATTACCAGCCATAGCCAAAACATTGGACACAGTGTATGGTTAATCCATGAATTTGACATGGGCTTTGATGCGAAATAATGGATTTGGAGAATATCACAGGATTTCAGGTAAAATACGATAAGTGGTCAGGTTTGAAAAGATTTAAGTACATTCTGAGAAGTAAATCTGAGTTTTCTTCCTTTTTTTCCTAGTGAGTTATCTGATGTCAGAGAGCATGATAAGGTCGTGACCTCGCAGGCACAGCAAGCACAACAAGAGGTAAGTCAGCTTCACTATGATATCAGCACTTATTTTGAAAAATTGAAATTGATAAAAGCAATTTTTCTCCATAATTTTTGCTGTGCATAATTTCAAATATCTCAATACTCACTGGTCAAATGGGCGATTCACAATAGTGCGCCTCCAAGAGTTTGTAACGCATTGGCCAATCACAACACGCAAACTTTGTCGACCCTTTTGAAACGCACATTGGGTCGCCAAATTTCGCTCATTGTGCTTGGCCAACGGGTTGCAAACTCTTTGAGGCGCACTATTGTGAAACGACCATAATCCTTTTTTCCTTTTTTTCAGCTTGCTGCAGCACTAGCAGAGTCTGAAAAGAATGCGGGGTAAGAGACCAACAGGAATTTGTCAAATAATCCTTTTACACTGTCATTCCTTTGAAGATAAAATCAATAATGACTACTGAGTTTTATTGATCTCTGCAAATAGGGTAACCATGGTTTGAGAACCACTAGAGAACTTTTCAGAGTTACTCACATCTGAGTGTTTTCTACTCACCAGGCTGCTGGCTGAGTATCATGAGTTGTACGAGTTACAGCGGGCTCGCCTTGAGTCTCAAGTCATTGCACTGTCCAGGGAGAAGGAACTGTGGAGTGGGGCAGCCTATAATCTTGCACTCAAGGTATGATTACAGAGATCCTTTTTAAATGATTAGAATTGCTCAGGCTAAAAGAATGTCATCATTCATTCCCATTGTTGGGTATCAGGACTCTCCAATTGTGCCTTCAGTTACTACCAATCTGCATTCCAAAAACCAGATTTGCTTGGGTTTAATGAGAGATTTGTTGGTTTGAGTCAAGCATTTGGCCATATCTGTGTCCTTGGGCAGTCCACTTTACCCCAACTAGCCTCTCTCCACCCAGGAGTACAAATGGGTACTGGCATTAGCTCGGGAGCAACCCGCGATGGACTCATACAGGGGCAATGGAAATATCAGTCATTTCATGCCTGGTTTGGTTTAGACAGACTGAACTTTCAAAATAGGCTAAACTGACCATCAAAGGTTATTTGCTTTGCTGTCACATTATCTTAAATTCAACAGAAATTCAATATATTTGAAGATGATTTCCTAAAGCTACTCAGCAGTTAATGAAGTATTGCTTATCAGATAAAAGGAAAAATGAGCTGAACTCCAGTTACAGCCATTATGAATATCAGCACTGATTAGCCAGCAGCCTGTTTTTGCTGAGCCAGTGATTTTTGTGTTAAGCAGATGTCTAAGCTAAGCAGAATCTGTTCACTTGACCCAATTAGGTCACCGAGGCCAACTCACTGGCCACGGCCCGCCGCCTCCACATCAGTGAGCGGCTCTGGTCCAAGCTGGCTAACCACTTCACCATCGTCTTGAGTGACCGTGACACCGAGGAGTTGTCACAGCTGCAGGTCTGCATTGCCACTCACCGCCAGCTAACCCTCGCCTTTGCCGAGGAGCTGAAGGCCGGCGACGAGCGGTCCCACGGCCGATTACAGGCCATTGGCAAAGGCATCGAGAAGTGGATTCAGGAATTTGACCAGTTTGTGGTGTAAGTATGCCAGGCCAGAGGTTAACTAACCTTTCCGGGCTGTGTGGAGTCGACTATCACTGTTTAGTTGATGAATAAAACCAAAACGAAGCATTTTTTTTTACCCAATAGAGGGTACCAACTTTCCCTCCATTACAGGTATATTCTGATTTTTGAAAGGGGAGCATGGAAAAAAACCATTTCAGAAGAGAAGGCATCCATGTTTGACAAAGTCCAGGTCAAATTTGTATCAAGTCCTCACAAGAAACTCACCAGTTGATCAAAAGTCTCATTTCAAGTTACAGACACTGTGAATGGGTACATAGTCATCTCTCTGCTATTCTTCATTCTATGCCTTGTCGCCAGACTTAGGATTAAACATTTGATGGATTCGAGAACCTTTCAAGCTTATTGATGTGTAATTACAAGATTTTATGGATACATCTAGAGCCTTTCATTGCTAACAAATTAAAGATGACTTGAATCTGTCCTAACTTTGCAAGCTTGCAAAAGGAAGGCAGCGTGACGTCTGGTGCCACTAGTGTGAGAGAATCAAGGTGACTTTGTTCGCTGTTCAAATGTGTGCACTTGCTTCTGGTTGCAGTGTCTGCTTACACCAATTCTAACCATTTCATTTTTCTGTAGTACTAGCTCCACACATTGAAACCTCATCAAAAACTCCACCTTGGTTAGCTAGCGTAGACAGGGCCATTACACTGCAATTTGAAAGATGATGGTCTAGATAAGGGTCCTGTTTTTATTGGTAGATTTCCACATTTTGTGTAATTGTTTCTTCCCTCAAGCAAAATTTGCAAAGTTGCTCAACAAAATTGGGTGGCAGGCAGTTATTTTTCTACTTATAGCACCGTGATAAAACACAAGAATGATTACAATAAGATATCACTCAGTAAGCAGAAGTTTCCGTTAAAGTAAATTTTGAAGCAATTTTGATTTCTCGTTAAGCAGCTTTGTTCTTATTGTTTTATCGTCTGGGTGTATTAGAATTGCATTGAGCAGATCTGTAAATTTTTTTCAATTGAAATATCATTCATGTGACCATTTATGGTCGTCCTTGCAACACCCCCTCACAAGATTTTCCCAAAAAGTTCATAAATGTCAGTGTTTTCCTTCCGCCCTTTTCCTCTCCAACAACATACCACATTTAGATGACTCAGTGCTCCAACAGTAGTCCCAGACCCCAAGATTCAAATCTCATCCAGACATTCATTCAGTCAAATCATATGTTTCCTCGATCCATTTACCTCACTGGTTCTGTGATCTCCTCTCAATCCAGTCTGATAGGTTTTTTGTGTTGTCTGCACCATACCACACCACGTAGGCTCTCTTTGGGCTTCAAGAATCACATTCGTCCAACTTGTGCTTGCACGACAGTGTCAGTGCGGAATTTCAAAAAGACTCTGTATCAATTAACTTCCTCACGTAAATTGCTCCAATCGTGACGGAATACAGGATCGGAAAATGTGAAGCTCCAGTTTTCTTTGTGAAATAGTGTTTACAACTTGATGGTGGACTGTCACCCTACAAAATGCTGACTTCTTGAATTTGGTTGTTCATACGTTTAGGGCAAGCCACGATAACATTCAGACCGTCGTCCAAGCGCCGCCCGTGGAAATGATACAGAAACTCTACGACGACATCAGATCTTGGGAAGAGGTTGGTTCTAGAATGTTCTCTGAAGAAAAATTAAACTCAAACACTAGGAATCTACCAGGTTCGCTTTCAGCCAATATTTGGTTGACAGAAAAAAGTGGGCTTGGAGCATAGTTGTTCAAAGTAATGTCCTCATGTTGGAGTGGCATCCTTTTGTACATATATCGTCTGTCTTACAATGTAGCAATTGAATAAAGAAGTGGAGAAGTACGGCGGGGACATCTTGCTTGGATTTGAAGAGAGCATGTACAGTATCAAGAAGCAGGTGGAGATGTGGACGGAGGTGGCCTTGCACATCTTCAACCGTCACCGACCGGAAGACGGATCGGACTACCCGGAGCACAAACGACTGCTGAAGATGAACAAGGTCAGTTGTAAGGCTCTCTGTAAGGACTGCTGTACTCTGGAAAGAAACTAGAAGAGTTGCAGAGAATTTGGAATATGCTGCAAGTTAGAGTGCTTTTTCCTGTCATTAGGAATGAAGATTTGTTTGTGTGAAGGCAGTGTTATGGAGTAGCAAAGTGTGACTTTGAACCAGAACGTGCAGTGTATACGAATGGAGTACACGTCAGTGTTGGTTCAAATGCTGGTTCCCGCACTAATACCTTTCACACAGAATTGTTCGCATGAGGAATTCACTTTGATACTCCATGGTATAAATAGATAAGACTATTCCTTGCTTTCCAATATTAGCAGTAAGCTTGAACTGGCGTCATGTTCACTTACGTTTGCATCACATCCCTGCTTCTTTTTTAAATTGCTGTCTCCCAACGACACTGAAGAATGACCTGCCCAAAGTCCCTCTCTCTAAATTAGCATTTACTACAGAATGTGCACAAATCATTTTTTTCATGCACAAATTATTTACCACTGCAGCACCAATACCAGCATCCTCTTCTAAAATTTGCTCAGCGTTTCTCTATTTTTCCCCTCTGTGCTCTTGAAAATCCTTGACCCTACAGTTAACTCAGGTAAAGGAACTTGGAATGAAGTTTATTGTCTACTGACAGTTTGATGTGGTTTAACGTAGAGAAGATGCTTTACTAACGATTTGATACTACATCTAAAAAGTTTTTGTTTGTTTTTGGTTTGGGGTTTTTGTTTTCTTTTTTTGGGGGGGTAGGGTGGTTGTTTTCATTTTGCTTTTGGTTTTGCTTTATTTATCTGGTTTTTGTATTACCCATTGAAGGCGTTAGTATAAAAAAGTCTCAGATGTGCACACCAAACTACAGACCATTGCACTTTACTGAGGCATCAATTGTCATAAGCTACATAAACTTGTGTCTTCCAAAGTGGCTTGATCTATTGTTTTTTTCATATATTATATCATTTGTTTGGAAATCAAATCAAATTTAAATCCTTTTTTTCACTTTCTTGTTTCATCATGGTCCTTGAATTCTTTTTGTTTTTTCGCTTGTGAAATACAAGCCGAATCTGATAATCCTGTTTGCCGTGAAATTTGTAGTTTAGCTCGTGATGTGACTAACGTTGTTGAAGCACTTGTTCGAGTAATAACTTTTTTATGCTATTTATATATGTATTTAATATCAATCAAATCAGTGTAAAAATTTAAACTCTCCTTCGAAAACCTTTCAGAACATCAATTGATACACATTGAAATTGATTTTAGCTAGTGCATTTTTTACATAAACAAATTTGTGTGGGAAAAAGTAGTTCATCAAAGCTTTAGTTACCAGAAATAGTTTTCAGAGAGAGCCATTTCTATAAAGCTCACCTTCTGTAGATTTGATTCCATGAATACATTGACATTTGAAAGCAATCCAGGTGCAGTTTCATAGTGCTGCTAATGCTAAGAAGATTTTAGGTGCGGAACAAATATTGGCTGGGAACCAATTGCAAGAGATATAGATTGAATAACTTTCGGTTGGTAACCTATTTCTGCTGAGCCAATATTTTTCAATGCTTACCAAACTTTTCATTGATTTGCATGACTGCACCCTGAACTAATTTGTTATTTCTGTTAAATTGTTGCTTTTGTTTGCACTGCATGCTTGCAACCAACAGGATGTCAAACAGGTAAAGTAAACTGCATGAAAATTGCCGATTGTGTGCTCCAAAAAAATGTCTCCCACCATAGAATTAGTTTCCATAAAACATGCATGCTTTGACATGAGCAACCTGCGATTCACCCAAATGAGTCTTGGGTCGCCAGAGTTGCAAGCATTTCAAGCCAATCTTGCACACTGGAAATTAAAAGAATTATCAGTATCTCCTGTGGATATCAAATTGAGGTCTATATGAAAATGAAGAGGTGATTGTTATTACTACAGAGAAATATGATCTTAAGACTCATTTTGTGGAATCTGCATAGTCACATTCAATGCTTTGACTCAGCCCACAATGTCCTGACTTCAGCGTTAACACTTTCGTTGTTTCTCATTTGTCAAAGCTGAGGTTTTATTCCTCTTTGTTTGTTAATTTCCTTGACCTTAATTGTCTTTGGAGTTCAAATTTTATTCGTTTGACATTTACATTGTATTGTTTTCAGTTCATTCAAACCCTCACCATTACTAATAATCCAAACATAGTTCTGCATGATTCATCACTAAAAAATAATCATATTCCTTTTCTGTCAACATTTTCAATATCACACTTCTGTTGAAATTTGTGATAGAATTCTTAAAGAGTAGAAATGAATACTCAAACTAAAGCCTTCAGTTTTCTGTCTTTTTCTTCAAAGTCAAAAACTGTTAGTTGTTAACATTCAAAATTTGTACTAACGTAATGTTGTGAGCATTTTTACCACCTTGAGTCATTCATTCAGTCACGTGTTCCAATTTTGTGATCTTGATAATGAATACAATAATCAAGTGAATTCATCCTTTGACATGCAGCTGCCTTAAACCATGATTAGTTTGGAATTACAGTGTGGTTTCTTTGTTGATATTGCCTGAATTAGGAGTGTGACATGCTGCACCAACAGTTCCAGATACGAGTCAACGGGGAGAACGGTAAGTCATGGATTTGGCTTAAAATAATACTCATGCCTATGGGAGCCATTGGCTCATGGCTGCAGCCAAGTCCCATAGATGCGTGTGTCAGTTAGCCTCAGACGGTTGATTAGACACGGTCTCTGCTGACCAGGCTGTGTGACATCAGAGTCAATCAATTTGTAATAGACTCTTGTCACAAGTCAGCCCTAGAGAAATAAAAGTGAGGTTAACGTGTCATTTTGGATATCTAAGTGACAGCAATGAAGCTCCTCTTCATCACAAATTAATGCCAGTGTTTGCCGATAGTTAATTTAAAATTTGTGAATTTTAAATCTAAACATTTTAAGCTACATTTTAAAAACTGAAAGTGAGGCTTGGAATCCAAATAGTCTGGCACACCCCCCCATTCAACTTTTAACACTGAGTAAGATATATTTAGGGAGCTCATTCAAAAGGTTTTTCAAATCTTTTATTTTCAAAATCGGTTCCCAGGCTCGGCTAAAGGCTTCATCCAGATTGCCAATGCCTTGGAGAGCTGGGACACCAAACTCAACTCCATCCTGAACGGGGGCGCCATGCCCCTAGAGAGCGAATGGATGAGGCTGTACGAGCTCTTCAGTGATTGGCTGGTGACCATTGATGAGACGGCCGGCTGTATCGGCAGCACACAGAAGGAGGATGCCAAGGCTGAGGGAAAACCCCATGACCCGTAAGCTCCACAGCCACAAAACAAGTTCAGAGCTGCTAAACAAGCAACACGTCTGGCCGTAATGATTATGTGACCCAGCCTGGCAGAATAAGCCACAAATTATCAGAGTTACTTTTTTGGTCACAGATCTTCAAGGGAGTCTCACGTACTGAAGGGTTTCACATTCCAGCCTCCGGTCGTTGTTGTAGCTGGAATTGGCAAATATTTACAACTTTTGGTTACAGTGCTGAACATTTGGAGGGAAAAGAAAATCATACTTTGCACTGCACAAAAAAGTATCCACAAATATCTGCATTTAGCTGAAACTTTGGCTGTTATTTAAAATAGCCAGGTAGGATCTCTGCAGTTCTCTGCAGGAATCCTCAACATTTTTCTGTCACATAATGTCCGTCTTCATCAGGATGGCAAACTGAGGGATACACCAAAACGAAATGACTATTTGCTCTTTCCATTGCAGACCAGAAACAAAATACCTGACGGAAAATGGTCTTGAGTCTGATTTTTTGGGATCCAGTCAGAATATCATCAAGGTGTCAACAGTTGCAGATTCATTCCTTCAATTCACGTTTATTTCCATATTTGTACAAGGGACTAAGCAGAATAGGGCACCAAAAAAGTCACCAGGTCCATGAAAATAATTTAAAACAGAATAATGTGTATAGATTAGTAAAAACATGAATCAACAAAACCAATTTAAGTGGAAGATTAGGAACCTTCGTATATATTTAAGGTTTCGATGAATGAAGGAGTAAAGAGAATTGGAAGTTGTCAAGAAGAGACAATCAAGTTACAGACATTGAAAGTTGGCTACGTTTATTTTTGTCTACAAAGGCTGTCCATGGAAGATGTCTTCCGCAGCACACAGAAATGGCTGGCCAGCACTACCAATGGAATCGACAGCGAGGACTCCAAATTAGTTGAACAGGTAGATTATTGTCACAGCAATTGTCTTGCAAATGACTTGTCACTGTCGGGAGTATGATTATACATGTATTTTCAGCCTTAAAAAAGAAGAAAATTTTCAAAAACCAAAGAAAATTTTTGTTATTTCTATAACTCTTTTTGGTTGTTATACCACTGCGTAAGGGTTCCTAAAGTGCACAGAAGTCTTTGTAGCTCAGAAATCCAAAGAAACGTAGAAAGAAGATTGGAAGAAATCTTTAGAAGTGTTAAGAGAACCCCGGAGCCCGGATATCAGGTCAAGAAATCTAATCCATGTGTTTGCCCGAGAGGAATTCGAACCCAGGTCAAAGGGATGGAAGGTTTAGTATAAAAGTATAGCAACCTGACTCTCATCAATAACTTATGATAGTCACAACGGATTTCTACATTTGCATTTTCATTTCCCCTCATCATCAACAGGTGCAAGTGTTGCATGCCGAGATGGTCCATTGGATCATACAGGTGCTGCTGCGTCTGGCGCCCAACCAACCCAACAGCCCGCCGGAGGCTGTGGAGAGTAGTATGGCGACCACAGACACCATCGCCCAGATTCAGGAGAAGGCGGCAGTCATATTTGATAAGCTGACGAGATTCACCAATTACATAACTGGGTAGGACTTAGAATACATCTGCAAAATCTCTAAAAACAAAAACAACCTTTTTCGAGTTGACAGCATTGCTTGGATTCAGATCTGTGCGTCTGTTCTTATAAGGCATTCCTAGATCTCAGTCCCCTGAAATGTGCAGTATACTTCAAAGGTGTGCTACCGGTTGGATTCAGATTCAAACACAGTCCCTTCACTCCAGGTGGGTGAAGCAAATTGTGGCAAAGTGTCTTGCCTGAGGGCACAGAGCGACCCACAAGCAACTTACACCAACAATCAGTTTTCACACCACACCACAAAGTCACAGTGCTCTAGCGAACTATATATCACACAAAGAGTCAAACAAGTGATGGTTTTTCACATAATTAGAATATTCCTATTTCTAGTCCATCCATTTTCTGGCAAGTCTCATTTTTGCCAGGTTGTTTTGGATGCAGTTTGTGTATTTTACCATACAGATGCTGCTCCAACATTGTGGCAGAGGAAGTGCAGAGGAGACAGGACGAGGGAGCTGAGGATGCAGATCATGAACTACGTGATCTGAAAAAACTCAAGGTGGACATTTCTTTGCCATTGTCATAGAAAAGAATATAAAAAGCTACCAACCCCTTTTATCTACCATCCCCTTTAATCTTTTTCCAACTGTGATGAATTTTTTTACCTACTGACCTGCATATGAAGATAACTTGCAGAATTCAGAAGCATTAAAGACAAATTTGTATCATATTTTGAGCCGTGTTTTTGGTAGTTTGGATAACTTTGAAACGGGCTTGCTGACCTTGGCAACATTCCAACTTGCGATGGTTTATCCACAGAGCGAGTGTGCTGACTGGATTCACACAGCCACCATACTCATCGAAGACCTCAAGTGTCTTGACCCCAACTACGTGCCGGTGGCATCCGCCACACCGGCGACAGGAGATGAGAAATTGGAGACGGCAGTCACACCAGCTCCAACCCCTGGGGTCATCGACGGCGCTGAGGTCAGTCTGAAATTTGAAGTTTTTTCAAATATATGTATGAAATTCACAGAATATGGGTCAAGCGTAGGCCCTGTATAGCTGTTTTTTAGTGGAGGTAACAAGACCTGGACATATAAGGAACTCAGGTTTTTCTTACTTCGAAACATCTTTTTTGTGTCTCCCAGCTCATTCAGTCGGAGGGAACCCCTAGCCAGACTCCAGCACCAACCATCCTGTCAGACACACAGAAAGATGCAGCCACGTCACCCAAGGTGACGCCAGTCTCCACAGACAAGGTATTGGCAGTAAAAATACTCTTCAACATTTGGTATCTCTGGGATTGCACTGCCAACCGGTGACGGCCTTTTCTACAGAGAACGTGTCATGACGTACTCTTTCCCTTTATTTAGTGAATCATGCCGAGCAGCATATACTGTGAATGGCATGGTGATGTCTTTGAATTCTGGGACATATTTTGTGTTCGTAGGAGGAAGTTGCTGAGCCCGCAACCCCAGCCGGCAAAGAGGGGTCAACGGCAGGCAAAGAGGAGGTCAACATGAGCGAGATGCAAGCGATCGGTGATGACGACAACGTGCGAACTCTGTCACTAGAGGAGCCCATTCAGCAACCAGAAAAGGTGAGATCGAAGACAGTTTCGGGGGTTGGAATCTGCTGAAGACTAGATGAATGCTTCACTGTTCCCTTCTAATGTCTGTTTTGCCAAGCATTCAATATACAGAATGAAGTGTTAATTTTTTTTAATTAGTAATTATTAGAATTAATTTGAACCTGTTTGTACTCTGACTAGATTGGGATGTTCTTTGGACAGAGAACCTATCGCTACTTATGTAAACATTAAAATTAAAATGAACCTTCTTCTGTGGTCTGATTGGTTAAATTCTCAAGACACTGAACACAGTGTCAATTTGTAAATATGGAAATATTCAAATTAGGTTTAACCTCCATTGTCTGATTGGCCAGTATGCCAGTACTCAGAACAAAGTGCCAGAATATAAAAATGCTAATATTCAAATTAAGCTGAACCTGCATTGTCACTAAAAGCATCTTCTTTACTTCATCAGATACAGCCACGTATCTCGGCACTACAAGCGGAGGCTGGACCACGGACCCCGACCCCGGATCCTCAGAAAGCCTATGAAGCTCTGATGGCCGTCAAAACATTGCAGGGAGAGTTGCTGTGAGTCGGTCCTTTTGCTTATATTTTTATCCCCTTGGCTACGGAGGACTGCTACTACCGCACCATTGTGTGAGGATTAGTGCATACCACACATACAGTCTATTCACCATGCAGCTGCTGGTTCAATGGGGCCTGCTGATGGACAAAGCCCTCCATTCAGGGCATGCCACAGCCCAGCAGTCAGGGTCAAAATAATCCCACCGTGAAGGGGTTAACTTTCAATAACTTAGAGCATAGTTGCGAGTACTGTCTCAAGATTCAACTTATACCTTGTTTGTGGTGAATCACTCAAATCGATTGTTGTTGAGTGTGGGATCGAGGCCTGGGCTATATATATATATGCCTAGACACAAGTGGACTTGAAGTTCATGTGAGATCTGAACAAACAAATAGGTTGAAGTCTCTTGTTTTACTTGAGCACCACTCTTAACACAGAGTTTCCTCCAAATATCAAAGCACTGTCTAATGCTTCAGCGATGGTAGACTTTGCTGTTGGCCTTCCTGAGCCAAGATATATGTCTGGATGTGAACCCAAGACAATGTCGCTCCTTTATAAACTTATGATGTCAACAATCACTTACAAAAGGCCGTGATGTTGTTTTAATTTATCTTTCTGCTTCATTAACGCAGGATGACTGAGGAGCGTGCCCAGAAGGCAGAGGACAGGGTGGCCGAGCTGGAGCAGGAACTTAAGGAAACGCAGGAGAAGCTACGAGCCCTGGAGAGGAAGAGCGCCACGCCTAAACTCCCGGAGAAGGAGGCCGACGCCTCCAGCGTCATAAGCAGAGAGGGCAGGGCTGCGGACATGCCCAACCAGCCAGGCACCGCATCATCCCCAACCCCACCCACCCCTACCACCCCTCATGCAGCCATGGCACAGGACACACCCCCGTCCACTCCCGGGCGGAGACCAGCCTCCCAACATCAACCGTCCCGCCCACTCTCACAGGCCTCATCGAGGTCAGGGGTGGGGTCCCGGGGCTCATCAAGGTCAAAGAAGAGCAAATGATTTTAATGACAAAGAATGCTCTGGACTTTTTATAGATCCGTGTAAAATATAGATGTATTTTGCACAGAAATGGTCACATTTTTCTCCAGTAAACAGATGATTTTCACGTCTGTTGCCTGGATGCGACACATTTTCTTCACAAAACATAAAAAAGACTGCATTAAACAGAAATCGACAAGATTTGAAGATATGTATATAGATTTTTAATTTACTTCCAAATCAATTCAAATGAGTGTCTTAATATTCCATGACTGGGTGATTTATTTCAGGATCTGAATAATCTGTAAATAATTTCTTAAGTTCTTCCCTTTTAAGATGGCCTGTGTACCTGTACGGAACTTCTTTCATATACCAAGTCATTATGTACATTGAAGTGTGGATTTTGAATTTAGTTTGTGTATGCTCTATGATTTGCCATGATAGAAATGTGGTATGGTTTTCAGGTTTATTTCCGTCCAACACTCAAAGTTACCATGTCCCCATCCATTTTGAGAGGTTTTTGTACAGTTTGTTGCAGATCTTTTAAATTAAAACTCCGTCCATCATTCAAATATCATGAGACATTTTCATTACATGTTGGTCTTCATTCATCTTTGACTGCACCTGCAAAACTTTAAAAGTTTGAAAAACGAAGCTGTGGGCATCAAAAAAAGCCACCAAACATGAATATGTTTGCTCACCATAGGTAACTAAAGGGTTACCAAAAGGCATTGGGATGGGTGTGACTTGTGACAGATTCCCAGCTTATACAGCTGCTAAGTTCAGAAAATGTTTGCTTAGCAAATACATGAATGTCATGTGCTTTGGTGCAACCGGTCCAACTGCTTAGTCTTTGTGCGATCAGTCGATCTGAATGCACGATGTTGATAAATCTGCCATCAATCAATCGTGCTTGGTGTCTTTAATTCAGTCACAAAAGACTGTTTCCAAAAAAAAAGGGGGCTTGCTGTATGTCCACTGCTACAGTTTGTAACCTTGAATATCTTCAAGAGTCATCGGTTAATCCACTAAAAATTGACAAGAAAATGAAAAACGAGGAAATGAACTTTAACTTGATGTATATCCTCAACACCCGTGGGTGTGTTCACAGTAGTCCTCCCTGATTTGTTTAGGTTGGGAGGAGTATTCATTACTGTTGTCTGTGGTAACTTATTTTATATAGAGGGCGCTATATCCAAACTTTGTAGTCTAGTTCCTTGTCGTCTCCAACACTCTTGCGTGAAAATGTTTTTGTCACACAGCCTAGTAAACATTTCAGATAACAACGGGTACGTGTAGACTTGTTTTACCTTAAAACTTAGACGATGGGGCGAAAACAATGACTGCAAACCCTCCCCATAGCAGGAGGAATTCGGGCATTAAGTTGGATCCCATTGCGAAGACGGATTTACAAAGAACGTTCATAAACAGCCAAATTAAGTCCGATGTCGCCCTTGCTGTGACGGTTCATGCAGTTGCGCCGCTGGGGGCTCCGAGGCGTTGCAACACAACGCTCCTTCGCAACAACAATGCTGAGACGGATCCCTCCCCAGAATGGGTGGTGGCCAAGCAGACTGCCACCCCACCTCCCCCTCCAGCCTGTCGGGAGACCTTGGAGGCTATGGATACCACCATGTCGTCGTCGCCGATCGGTGGGAAGAAGAAGTCCAAGGGTCGGCGGGCGCGGAGGCGGCCCGTTCGGCCGTGTCTGACCGTGCATTTATCGAAGGCCAGGTCAGGCGCAGAGGTGCTACGTATCAGCCTTGAAGAACTCGGCTGGCGGTGGAGAGAGGTGGGCTGTGTGCTACTAGCCTATTTTTTTAATTTCTATTTTATTAGGCCTAACTGCTTTTTATTATTAGGCCTACTTGTTATATTACTGTCCTTTGATGACTGTGCGATAAATTAGATTGATCATTTCACAGCTTTGTCCTAACAATTAGGTAACATGTAGGATCAGAGTATGATACTAACAGACTTAAGTATTCTTCAGTCCAGGGTGAAAAGTCATTTTCACATACTTTTACATATACTGAATTAGAAGATATTACTGGGAACACGTTTCACAAATGTGCTCCATGCATCCCCCATGGGGAATATATGGAGAGTAGAGTGCGGCGCCTGTTCTTCTAATGCCAGTGGGGTTTACACTTTTTGTAACCTCTTGACAGGTGTGTGGCACTCGTAAGAGCTCTTGTGATCTGTATTGGCACAGTGCATCGTTCTACGACACCGATGGCATCTACTCAGGAATGGTCAACAAATATCCAGGTAGGAAGTCCACCCTTGTGAAATACTGATGAACTCTGAGATTGGTTACCTTAACATTTAAACCAGCCACAAGCAGCATTTTAGCTAGTAACCCGCTTTTGCCAAGTAGATAAGCTGCATCTGTGTTTGGCTGTGGATTGAAATTTGACACGGCTCTTTTGGAACTGACTACTGCCACTGCCATAGATTTGTGTATAATTTCTAGACGCAGCCATATAATTTGGACACGGCTGTATTTTATTTCCTTGCTTGGCAAATGTGTGTGCTCAGCAGCTCTCAGGTATCAAGCACTTTTGAGGCACATGTCAATTCTTCCCTATGTTCCACAGGCCTGCTGGAACTGGTTCGCAAAGCCCAACTCAGCAAACTCCTCCACCAGATGCATGAGCTGTTCCCAGATGAGTACGACTTCTACCCCCGTACTTGGCTCCTGCCAGACCAGTACCATCATTTCTGTGCCAACGTGGCTGGCCAGCAGCAGCAGAGCCCCAGCAGGGCCAAACCCGTCTTCATCGTCAAGCCAGACGAGGGTTCCCAAGGTGACGGGATCTACCTCATCACTGACCCTCGCCACATGGGCTCGGTGGGGCTGGTCCGACGCGCTGTGGTGCAGGAATACATCGCCAAGCCCCTGCTGCTGGAGCGGACCAAGTTTGACCTGCGGGTCTACGTACTTTTGACGTCCATCGCGCCACTGCGAATCCACATCTGCCGTGAGGGAATGGCACGCTTCTGTACCATCAAGTACCAGCCGCCCACCAACCGCAACCTGCACCAAATCTTTATGCACCTGACAAACTATTCACTGAACAAGCGGAGCGAGACGTACATCCATACCGACAGCACGGACCGAGGCAGCAAGCGGACAATGAGCAGCACGTTCGCGGCGCTGGCCTCGCGGGGCCACAACACCATCGCGCTTTGGGAAGATATCCAAGCCATCGTGATCAAGACCATCACAGCAATGCTGCCAGACCTCCTGGTGGAGTATGAAGCAGAACTTCCAGCAAGAAAGCCTGCTCCGTCATGCTTTCAGGTGGAGTTTGACTTGTGAATCAAATTACTACTTCAAATGACAAAATAAATTGGCATAAAGGCAGGGGACTTTAAATAGCAGCATCTCATGAACCAAACTTTTAATAATTTCTTTCAGTATAATTAAATATTCTTAAAGATTTCAGGACATTTTTTGGTAATAAATTGTCAGGAAAATGTTCAACAAGTAAAAGTGTTATTTGGAGGAGGGGAAAATACAAAGGTGTTAGATCCCTTGTAGTTCTCTTCTCATTTCTAAAAGAAGCTTTCATGGTTACAAATTGAAGGGGTCATTATTTAAGAGAAGCAGTACTTACAAATGTTTGACTTTTTTCCTCCGTCCATTTCTTTACACCTGCTAGATCTTGGGTTTTGACATCCTGGTAACTGAAGACCTAAAACCCATGCTGCTGGAGGTGAATGCCAACCCAAGCCTGAGGTTGGACTATGAGAAGGAGGTGTCGCCGGGGATAACCGAGTCCCAACCAAGCCCTGTGGACGAAGAGATCAAGATCCCATTAATCAAAGACACCCTGAAACTTCTCAAGCCATGCAGGGCAGGTCGTGAGGCCCGAGCAAGGTGTGCGTAAAAAAAAATTTGGTCTTCTCCAGGAATGGCCATATTGAAAGGAAAGCGAGGTTGAACTTGCAAAATAAAAGACTCTGTGGTGTTGTCACAATGTCACTTGCCGAGCTTTTACCTAAGAAGGGGGCATTCAAGGGGCCAAAGCTTGCTAGTGCTGCCTCACTTTGAACCTGACCATGCAACTGGTGCCAACTTAGCTGATGCTGATGGGGTTCCTTGTGTAAACAGCTTGTACAGTTTACAATAGCCATTGGTCATTGTGTGTCATGGGTTTGACATTTTTTTCTGTAAATTTTGTCCTAGGCTTACAGCAGTCAAACCTGACAAAACAAAGGCCTCTAGGCCTGCCACGCCCATATCGGACAACCCCGCATCTGAGGAAGAAGAGGATGAAGAAGGAGGAGGCGGAGCTAAGGAGGGCGAAAAGGAGGAGTGGGAAGACGATTCGTGCCTGGAGGAGATTTGGCCGCAGAAGTTTGGCGAGTGCTACAGCCACCTCCGAGTAATGGAGCACGTGGCTGGGCTTTTCAATCGGTTCTTAGGGGTCCGGGGAGCACACCGGATGGGGGCGACGGGCTTCCGAATGTTCAGCAGGTATGGGGGGATTGTGGGTAGATTTGTATTGGAAAAAGGAAGTCGGTGCACCTCTGAAGTAGTTAGAGAACAGCAAGAGTGGCTTCCCTACCAGCTCCCACAACATGAACCATAGGGGCTTTTTGTTGACATTCTCAGCCGTTAACTTTGAATTATCATTCAAAATGACCTTGGATTATGAGAATCACTTCAGTGTACAGTTAGGGCGTTGTACCTCATTTGTATCTATGGTGGCTTCATTTTGTGCAAAAGTTCCCCAAGATTCCAAAATTGCACCTGTTGTTCTACAAATGGCCACCCCAAAGCCCTAAATGCCCCTTAGTCTCTGAAAAAGTTCCTCTCAACTACTCTAAAATGGCCACACCCGACGCCCAATATGGCTCCCATAATGATCCATTATTTACTTAACTGTGTATTTTGTCTTACTGCAGGAAGTGCAAGTTGTGCACCAACGGCATCACCATGGCGGGCATCGATATCATGTACATCGACATCACTCGGCGCTGGACCCTCGATAACCCTGAGGGCGTCAGCACGGGCATGTGCTTCGGTGCCTTCCTAGAAGCGTTCTTCACACTGGCCCAGCGCAAATTCCGCGGCAGCTCTCTGCTGGACAAGGTCAGCGCCCTGGTGGAGCTGTGCGAGTACAATCTGAGTGGCGCAGCAGGGCTGGGCGGGATACGGGCGGGTGCCCCGCCCAGGCTACTCCTTGGTCGACTGCGCCGGCCGGAGATGGGGAAACGCAGAGTTGGGAGATGGCCATCAACGGACGAGGATTGAAATGCGCACTTATTTTAGTTGTGCTCAAATTTGGCCCTCCACATCTACAACTCCTACATCTTTGCAATTTTCAGAGAAAACATAAAGAACTTTTCTCATTTGGAGATGACTTAGGCACAGGAAACGAGCAAAGGTTTATAGTAATGTCCTTGAAGTGTTGCACTGTAAAAGGTTGGGTTATCTTGTCCCTTAGCAAACAGATCTGTCATTGTCAGTGCCACAGCTATTGTCATGCAGGAAGGCAGCCACCATACGTAGCTCAGATACCAACCGATTGAAGTGGAGCCTTACACTCCATGTTCAAGCAGATGAAATTGACTATTCAGTCAGAACCATTTTTGCCTGTGTCCTTTAAATTGTTAACGGCTATTCTAACATGCTGCACCTGAAGTTCCTGCATTTTTCATTCTTTATTGGCTATTTGTGTTCAATTGTTTAGTGTGTTTGTATGTTAGAATTTTCTGAATAACAAATCATTTTTCTCCCGTCAAATTAACAAAATTTTAACCACTCCCTGGGATTCCGGATTCGGACATGTATGCTTTACATGCCTTGCCAGGGTCTCCAAACTCAGACAAAGGGAACAGGGCCTTGTAACAAAAGACAGTACTCAGAACAAAAGACCAGACTGCTGGGAATTACTGACATTTTTTCACTCTCAAAAGTGGAGATAATCCAGCCTTGTTTTGAAACAGCATACCACGGTTTGGGGCATTTAGAGCAAGCGGATTACCACCAGGGACAAAAGCGCTCCACTACCGCAGCGATGAGCCACACAGCACCGCTGCACGCTAATCTGGCCCCTATTGAAAAGAGGTCAGCAGCACACTGAGCCAGGTTCGTGAACAAAAGAAAGTTATATAACAACGCGCAATCTGGGCTCTTTTTACAAGGCTGCAGGCTTGGCTGAAATACTCAGGCGTCAGTAGATTTTGTCTGTCAGGCTAGAGTGGACACCAGACAGTCCTTCACGTGTTTGTAAGTGTCCAGTAAATGAAGATAGGAAATTTTAAAGAATTTTGAAAACAGAAAAAATTGATAAATATCCCGGCCCAGCATCATCGATAACTGCCCCGGCAGGAAGTGGTTAATAAGGTTGAAATTTTTTACCATGTTGCACAAGACAGACTTATCATGACATGAAAACTTGTCATAATACATGCAGTTCAAAGCCCCAACCTCCAGCATGTTTTTGAAAATAATTCTAACAGTAATCGTAGTTAATAGTAATATATAAAAATTCAGTTGAGTCTTCAATGTGCATGATATCTGTGCATGTTTTGATAATATAGATAGAACTGGTTCTTTCCAATGAAACTTCCGTAAAGATACGAATGCACTTTTGCAAATAATGATTCGATAAGTTTAACTTCGAGAACATTTTTTAAAGTTTTAAATTCACGGGAACCAATATTTCAATTTTTAACCAAAGATTGTCACAGGTATTAATATTTCCATAAGCATCTCTTATTTTTACATGTTGTGCTTATTACTCCTTTCAATGAGGTAAGCAGCATATTTTAATTCAGTATTTATGCAATTTTTTTTATATTAATCAAAAATGTTCAAGCGCCAAATTATGTACTGCCCAATTTATTATTTACAAATGCAAACATATATCCTTAATCTAATTTTTGAATATTTTGGTCAGTTGTTTTTGTTAATTCCTAACATCCGTCCTAATAAACAAATCACTGTTTTGTTATATTTAACATAACATGCTTTTTTAGACTTCACAGAAATTATGTTAACCGTGACTGCATGTTTTAATACACACACGTATGAATTGAATTTGTTTTTCCAATTCCTAAATTTTTTGCAATTCTCTTACTGTATTAATGCCTCAAATCTGTCAAATTGTTTGAAATGTAACCATTTGATGGCATTTACTTATAAACTAACCACGCATGTTTAGATGCACGGCACTGGATGAAATATAACGCTTTTTGACTATACAGGTATGTATCCACTGTTAGTCAAATTTAATAATTTATTTTTGTAATAAAATTTCATTTATACAGGATTTCAGCTGGATCCATTTGTGTTTTTTTTATTGACTCAAATGCATTTGTTCAGAAATATGATTCATGCTTACTTTACACATATGACAAAAGCATTGTTTCGAGTGTAAAAAACTGTACATAAAAGCGCCACTCCTTTGACAATGGTTGGAGATTTCGGTCCAAAGTCTGCACGAACTTGACTACCGTCAAACAAAATAAAGGTTGAAGTTTCAAAGCGGGACCGGAATGTCTTTGCACGCAAGTGGCCTCGGGATCATTGTTGACCTGGTCTGGAATTCCAACTTGATTGACAAGGTCAATATTTGGTTTTGGGACGCCCTGTCCGAAGATGATTGTCGGTGGACTGATGTGTAAACAAACCGGCACCATTGCAAGCTGCTCAGCCAGAATTTAAACAATTCAAAGATGCAAACAGCTCAACAATGAAGAGGTGGGGGGGGCTAACCAACAATTTGACAAGGATGCAATTGCTAACCTTTGAAATATTTTCATGAGGCTTGGCTGACAAAAAAGGTACCCTAACAATGTTTTTCTTGTTACTGTAGTGAGAGGTGCAGAATTATGTACAGTTTAGGTCATGACGGGGCACCGCTGCTTTGAACCGGTAACTGGCCTTGCGATGGGGAACCGACAGCTACCACAGGCACAGCACTGGTCCCCTGCAGGGGAGTGACGGGCACCAGTGAGGGAAAGAGCTGGGAGTAAAGGTCTCCAAACTGGCCGATGTTCTTGTGGACGATGGCGTGAATGACTTCGGCATACCTCAGTGTCACACCTACCAATAAAACACGAGGATTCAAAATCAAATTGTTCTCAAAAGTAAGTCAATTACTTTTTTCGTAAAGGCAGTGGAGTAGAGAAACTCTCAGAGGTGAATATATTTTTTTTTAAAAATAATAATCTACACACCTGGGGGAAAAGAGCTGATGTATTTTCCACTTAGGTCAGGCTTACTCAAAGGTGTGTTAAAACTTGGCGGGTTTTCCTGTACGAAAGAAAATTAAAAGAAATCAACTGTTTATGTCATTTTGTACGATACGAAATATTTACAAATTTGGCATTTCAACTTCACCAAGCTTATCATTCAGGCTATATTCTGAAATTTGGCCATGTGAGGCAAGCTCCAGACGTCACATAGTAGAATTTCTATCATTTGTTTCATGTCATTTCCCTGCATCTTACATCCATGACCACATACTTGCCAGGTTGTTAATTTCACCGCCTAGAGGATTTTCAGTCACCTGATTTTTGACGGTCAGCACACTCGGCATTCCAATTTACACAGATGTGCACAGAAATGCGCGCGCCTTCGAAGTCTCTCAACATTCTGGTGTACATGAAACTACCGACAGAAATACCCAGATTCGAAAATGCAGGCGCGTCTATGGACACGGTACGCTTCCTGGAATGCCTTTGCCCATCATGTTATGTCAAGTGAAAAACCTCTGGTGTCAAGTTGACCCGTTTTCATGGTAAGCAGCAATTATACAGTCAAGGATGTTATACATGAAATGGACAGTGGTGTTTTGATACAATTTCCTTAATTTCCCTCTTCTGGAAAGTTAGTAAAACCTATCACAATACAAGCAAAACATTAAGCTGCTGCCTACCTTCAGAAAGGCCCAGATGGTGGTCAAAAGAAGGTTGATTTCACTGGGAGCCAGGCTGGGTATGAGAAGGCTACAGTAGCACAGAGGGGGAGGCAGGCACCCAGACTGAACGGGGAGGGGAGAAAAGTGTAGATTTGCTACCAACATAAGACAAAATCTGTTCATGCAGCATAGGATGGTTTGGCTATCTGCCCCAAGCTGAAGTGCGCCCTCAATCGGCAAAAAGAAAGACAGGTGGTTACAAGTTCTTGCACACGTTCTGCAGGTATGCAAAGACCATACATGCCGAAATAAAAATAAATTAGTTACGCATACTTCCCGTCAAACGTGCATATACTTGCATGCCTCATGGTAGGCCTATGCGGTGAGTCCAAAAAAACATGCTCTCTTTTGTTCTGCTCGGAGCAAATTAACCATAACTCAGGTTATGTCCGACCTAAACTTAGCAATGGCCAACAGAGCTAACATTCAGACATGGACTCATCCTCATTGCTGGGCTGAATATCGCCCTCGTCAGTTCACACACTCCACCCATTAGGCTATGAAGTAACACTGACCATTTCAGTTTGCCGTTTTTTTCAAATTCTTCAGGTCAACTTACCTGCTTCATGCATTCCAGCAGCCTGCAGGTCGCTCGGAGCTGGCTTGGGGCATTCTCCCCCTTCGTCGCCCGACTGGTGTCCCAGAACGCAATCAGGGTGGCGTGTAGACTGTATAGCAGCACCGCACACTGGCAGAGGGCGGTCGGCACTAAACACAACAGTCAATCAGGACAAGTCAACAGAAAATAAAAACCATGTAAAGTAGTCAACATTTGGAATCCATGTGAGCATGCACTGCTGAAGGAGATTTCCAGGAATCAATGATACTTTTTAAATTGGACCCTAGCAAAACAAAAAAACCACAAATTTCTTAGGTCTAAAAATGATACATTATAGTTTGGTTCTCACCTCTACTGATCATTTCAAGGAAGTTCCAAAAGAGTGGATTCTCTTCAAATCGTCTCCGAACAAACAGATCCCTGCGAGGCAAAAAAAAGGCAATTTATTTGCAACAAACACGCTCATCTGCAGCTAGCTTTTACTGCAAAATAAACTCATTGTGGTACTTCAACACTGCCACCTTTTGACTTATGGAAAAACTGGCCGAAGGGACAACTGGTTGTTAATTACGACTTCATTGTTGAAGAAAAGTTTCAACAAATACATTCAACATCCTACTTATCCTGTTGGCTTAAATAGTAAAAAGTAGTGTCGTATCACAAGTCCCTGTAAGTCCACCATAAGTCATTCTGTCTGAAGCTAATTCACAAGCTATTCAAACGAATTGTGAAAAAAGCATTCTTTTGTTATTGTTCACCCTGTGACGCTTGTGTGACAATTTGGTCTTGTGAAGGGAATTGTGACTGAACTTGTGAAGGGACATGTGACTGAACTTGCGACTGAACTTGTGAAGGGACTTGTGACTGAACTTG